GCAGCTGTGGGACTCTTCTCTGTCCTTGCCCTAGGGAAAGGTCCTTTTCACCTTTCGATCATTTATTATTAATCTTTCTATTTATCTATCAATGTCATCTATCTATCTATCTATCTATCTATCTATCTATGTATCTATCTATCTATCTATCCATTCATCTATCCATCTATCTATCATCTATCACCTATCTATATATCTTATCTTAGGATTTCTGTTGCTTTAAAGGAAAGCATTTAATTGGGGCTGGCTTACAGTTCAGAGGTTTAGTCCGTTATCATCATGGCAGAATCATGGCAGAGTACAGGTAGACATGGTCCTGGAGAGGAGCTGAGAGTTCTACGTCTAGATCCTCAGGCAGCAGGAAGGAAGAATGAGCCACTGGGCCTATGCTGAGCTTCTCAAACCTCAAAGCCCACCCCTGGTGACACTTTCTCCAACAGGGCCACACCTCCCAATAGTGCCATTCCTCATGAGCTGATGGGGGGCCATTTTCATTCAAACCACCATATATTTATTAATCATCTATGTATGAATCATTAATCATCTGTCTATCATCACTTTATCATTTGTCTGTCTTCTATGTCTTCATTTGTCACTCTGTCTTCCACCTATCTATCTATCTATCTATCTATCTATCTATCTATCTATCTATCTATCTATCTATCTATCTATCAACTACCTATGTATCTCTCTGTCAACCTATTATGTATATCTATGTATCTATTGGTCTATGTATTTATCTCTGTGTCTATGATATATCTATATTTCTATCACTCTAAATGTTTATCATCTATTTGTTTTTGTTAGTCTATTGATGTATCAATCTATGTATCTGTCTGTGTATATATCTGTATACACTAATATACATTCAGCTAATACACTGTTGTCTATGTTCTATTACTCTGTCTTCATTATCATCATCATCATCATCTATTTATAGTCTTTCTATTTGCCTGTCACCTTTTTTGTCTGTCACTTCTCAGGAGTCAGTCATGGCCTTTCAAAGATCCTACAGTCATCTCATTCCCCATAAGATTTTTGATCAAATGGCCGGGCGGTGGTGGTGCACGCCTTTAATCCCAGCACTTGGGAGGCAGAGCCAGGCGGATCTCTGTGAGTTTCAGGCCAGCCTGGGCTACCAAGTGAGTTCCAGGAAAGGCACAAAGCTACACAGAGAAACCCTGTCTCGAAAAACCAAAAAAAAAAAAAAAAAAAAAAAAAAAGATTTTTGATCAAGTGTTGTCCATGGCCTCCAACAGCTCTGAAATTAAACAGTTGCCCATAGTTCTGTATGACAAATATCTCTGAGTAGAAGTCTTTTCCTACCCAGTGAGCCCAGACTCAGGTCACACACAACTCGGCAGGTAGGTCATCCAGTGAACCAGCAGACAATCCAGCAACAATGACGTGAGGTTTTGGAAGGTCTCCAGCTCTGTCCATCCAGCGGTGTCTTCACTGCTGGCTTTTTTTGTGAAGGCAAGATGTTAGTTTTCAAAACCGCAGCAGCTCCAGAGAAGAGGAGAGAAACTCAGGGTAAAATATCACTAAGTTCCCTAGTGTAGGCAGAAGTTTCTCTCTCGCCTGCCTGTTCCCAAATACCCAGCAGCTGGTTCTTAAATAATTGACTCTTAATATTAATATTAGTATTACTCATAAATGCTCAGCTGGTAGCTCAGGCTTATTACTAACTTGCTCTTAAATTAACCTATAATTCTTATCTATGTTTAGCCATGTGGCTTGGAACCTTTTCTCAATACAATTTTCATCACTTCTCCTGCATCTGGTTGGTGATTTCCTGACTCCACCTTTCTTCTTCCCAGCATTCTCAGTTTGGCTTTCCCTCCCAAGTTCCTGCCCAGCTACTGGCCAGTTAGTGTTTTATTAAACCAACTCAGGTGACAAATCTTTACCATGTACAAGAGGATTATTCCACAGCATTCTGTTTTTTTCTCTTTTTTAAAAGGCCAAGATTTTGTATTTCCTGAATAAATGCTGTCCCAGCCCCACATACATTTGAAATAGTTGTTTCCGAAGGTATTTGTTGGCTTTCTTGTTGCTTCACAGGGCAGAGAATCTTCTGCCTATCTTACTCTGCCATTTTCTGTGATGCCACTCTGTTGAACACTAATGGAAATGCATTTCCAAAAAATTATCCATACACTTTAGTGTGGGGTCTAACCCTCCTGAAATAAGGAGCCAAGGAGGCATGTCTCTGGACAGATGCTGATGTGCCTTTGGCAGTAGACGATGTTTCTGTGATGCTGAACACAACAATTTCTTTTTCAGTGTTCTGAGGGCTGGGAGGGATCACATTTGGAAGTATTGAGAGGCTGTCCATGGATAATGGGGAGAGGGTGCAAAAATCTAAGCCACTCATGGAAGAGTTGAAATGCAGAAACACAGGCACCTAAGCTGCTTATAACAGAGTTGTAAGTCAGGGTCAGCCATGATTCTCTGTAATAAATCTGTGCCTGCCCTTGAAACTCAGTCTGGGAGACACAGCAGTGTCTCCTCTGAGGGCTTTCCCAGGGTGCAGACCAATGCATTAACTGACTTCTTTCTCTAGAGCCTACCCTATCACCTGGTCTCATACAAGACTTTTCAGTTGCAAGTGACAAAACCCAGTTCATACTGGCTTTAGGGGAAGTTGAAATTTAGTAAAAGCACAGATTTATCTAAATTTCTGAAGACAGTGAGTGACCTTCAGGTAGGGCTGGATTGGGGAATCCAGAAATCTTGACGAGGAACCTGGTTTTGTGTTGTGAAATAATGATTTTGTACATTGGTTTAATAAAACACTGATTGGCCAGTAGCCAGGCATAAAGTATAGGTGGGATAAGCAGACAAGAAAATTGTGGGAAGGCTGGAAGGCTGAGTGAGGACATCAGCCCACCATCCAGGGAGCAGCATGTAATGGCACACAGGTAAAGCCACGGAACACGTGGCAACATATAGATCAACAGAAATGGACTGAGTTTAAGTGTAAGAGCTAGTCAATAGTTATCTTGAGTTAATGGCTGAACAGTTTTAATTAATATAAGTGTCTGTGTGTTTACTTGGGTCTGAGCGGCTGCGGGACTGGTGGGTGAGAGAGATTTGTCCTGACTGAGAGCCGGGCAGGACCAGGAAAACTTTTAGCTACACTCTTGCTTCTGTTTTTTCTTCTGGCTTCACCGTGGACACAATGTTAGGATATTTTCCCTGGCTGTTTTAAGGTCGTGTGCCTTTTCACAAAGCCTAATGGAGTCAGGTGGGATCAACTCTAGTCAAACCAGTATGTCATGAGATTGACAGATTTAGCTAAATGAGGAAGACAGAACCTACAGAGTCCCAACAGTTTGCCGGAGGAGAGAGGAAAGCCCCACATACCCGGATTTAGAGGGAGGTCTCTGGGAGAACTGGAAAGTGAAGGGCAGGAAGGCCCTGGTGGCAGCTGGGGTGTGCAGGAGTTTTATGTGTGGCCGGTTCCCTCTGGCCCTTTGTGCCATTGTTTTCTAAATTTGAACCCCATAGGACATCTATGATCCCTGTGTTGTGATGACCTCCAAAATGAGCAATTGCTTTCCAAATGAATCTCAAGCTAAGACTAGGATACTGAAGAGAGAGGTTTGCTCAGTTGATGGTGCGCCTGTAGGCGTGAGGTCCTGAGTTCAGTCTCCAGAGATCCTATGAAAAGCTTGCCAAGGTAGGGGCATGTACTTATCAGGACTGGGGAAGCAGAAACAGGAGTCTCTGGGATTCACTGGCCAGATAGCCTTGTCTATTCAGAGAGCCCTAGGTCCCAGTGAGTAATGCTGTCTAAATAAGCTTGGTGGGTGGGTGGTTTCTGAGGAATGATCATTGAAGTTGTCTTCTGGTCTCTACACACATACACACAATACGCTCCCTCCAAAAGCTTCCCCCCAAATCCTCCAAAACCACATGACTGCAGATGTGCATGTACAAATTAATTAATCAATATGGAAGATAGTTCTTGTGCCAAGTGACAGTCATGTCTGCAAGATGAGAAGGGAGGTAGAGCTCACTGTGTTGGACAGTGTCCCTGCCCCTGGGGACTAAAGAGGGTCTAGTTGTTGAGCTTAATTATCTTCAGTGTGAGGTGGAACCCTCCCAACTGTCTGGAACCTTCCATCCTCCAGGGACCCATCTCTTCTGGGTAACTCCACCTACGAAAGGCTCCACAATGTTCCATACAGTACCAGCTGCTGCCGCCTGTTAAATATAATAGAGTAGCTGTGGTGGGTTTAAGACAGGAGGGCCTCGAGACCATGATCAGACCTGGAAGTAGGAGGGAGAGCAGACTGAACTAGTACAATGTATGTGACAGAAAAACGTGACAGGGGCCTTAGAGGGAAGGAGATACTTCCCTTTAAAACCTGGAGAGGAAATTCAGAGAGAGAGAGAGAGAGAGAGAGAGCCCGAGAGATAGAGAGATACAGAGAGACACAGAGACAGATGGAGACAGAGAGATACACAGAAGACAGAGAAACACACAGGGAGACAGAGGCAGTGTCTTAATTCTGTCCCTGAGAAGCACTCCAAGGGATGTGGCTTCATCTTCACTGTAGGATTTGGCCTCTTAAGAGTGACTACTAGTTTTAATATAAATTAAAAATTACTTTATTTATATGCGTGTGAGTGTCTTATCTGTGTGTTTGTGTGTGCACCATGTGCATGCAGTGCCTTTGGAGGCCAGGGTGTCGGATCCTCTAGAACTGGAGTTACAGATGATTGTGAGACGCTATGTGGGTGCTAGGGATCAAACCCTGTCCTCTAGAAGATCAGCCAGTGACGTTAACTGCTGAGCCATCTCTCCAGCCCAGGAATGACTTAAAGGGGCAGACCCATCAGGGACCAAATGGTCAAGCATTTGAACCTGTCGGGTATATTTCACATTCCTAACAGGAGTCCAGGTAGCGAGTAGCTCATTCAGTCGCCCTTCCCTCTTGGCTCCCTTCTTGGCCTGTTCGCTCACCTGTGCCCTCTTCTCTCTTGTTCAGGACACAGAAGTTTTGAACACCGCCATTCTCACAGGAAAGCCTGTCTCGGTTCCTGTCAAGGTCGTGGGGGTTCAAGAAGACGGATCTGTAGTGGACGTGTTGGAGGCTGTGGAATGCAGGTCGGCCGATGAAGATGTTGTGAAGGTACTGGAGACACATGCTCGTGTGTTCTATTCTCTCTCTCTCTCTCTCTCTCTCTCTCTCTCTCTCTCTCTCTCTCTCTCTCTCCTTTCACCTCTAGCATGTTCTCTCTCTCTCTCTCTCTCTCTTTTCATCTTCAACATGTTCTGTTCGAATGTCCTTCATTTGAAGGAGGGCGAATGACCTCACTGAGGAAGAGATCAATGTCAGTAGAGAAGCTGCCGTTTCCATCTCAGGTTCTAGGTCTCAAGTGACGATCTGTTCCTCTTTTGCCCTCTTCTTCTTCTTCTCTTTTCTTCTCCATCTTTCCCATATGCATGCTGCTTCCTTTACTCCAGCAATCCATACATCATTTCATTTTTACCAACTGTCTAATGCCCAGTCGGGTTATTTACTGAGTATGTTTTCTTCACATGCCCTGCTTTCCTGGAGCAGCTGTCTGCCTCAGCTGGCTGAAGTCTGGTGTTGATAAGAGTCTTCTTTTCTCACGCTTAAAAACTAATTTAGGGCCATTATAAGATAATAAAACCCACGAGCTTGATGTGTTAAAATTTTGTTAATATACATTAAAGTAAATGACTATTAAAATAATAATAAAAAAACCTCATCACGCACCTCCTGACTTAATTTGAATACTACCAAAGGGACACAAAGCTTGCATTTGAGAAATCTGGACACGGGGTACTTCTGCTGGATTTTTTTCATTACTGAGCAGTGAATATTTTGGCTCCACAAAGGACAATTAAACTCTGCTGGGAGTTTAATTGTCCTTGCTGTTTGTGAGGGAAACTTTAAGATTTAGTGTTTCTGTTGTTTTTTCCCCCTCCCTCCTCAGCACACATGGGTTGCTTATTGCTTTTGCAGCAGAGACCACAGAGAGGAATTATTCCATCTCTGAGTCTCCAAGAGAGCTCCAGTCCCAGTCTACTCAGATATTTTAGGCAAATCCGACATGCCCACAGAGTCCTGCCTTTCATATCCTGTCTGCTTCTGTTCAGAGGTGAAATGGGACCTGGCCTTAGGCTTTTCACACTTATATTAATTAATTTAATTTCTTCATGTGTACATGTGCAAGCAAATGCATACATGCATGCAGACGCCAGGGGATAGCTTTCTGGAGTCATTTCTGTCTATCTACCATGTGAGTCCTGGAACTTGAACTCAGGTCCTGAAGCTTAGAGGCAGGTACCTTTACCTGCCGAGTCACCTCACCAGCCCTCAGTGTCAGTCTTAGACTCTTCCTGGTGACTAGCAAGAGAATGTCTACAAAAGGTTGATGCTTTCTCTGTGTGGCCTGCATGAGACTGTGTTTTGGTCCAGAGTATGCCTCATAAAGAAGGATGTTGGATCCATGAAGTCTCATCGAACAGTTGTGAATCTGCAGGAGCCTCCAGTGTGGCATAGCTTGTTTCCTGGGCATGGGCCATGAATTTGCCCCAAAGACAAAAGCAGACTAGTTAAAAACCTGCAACATGGTCTCATCCTAGGACTCCTGGCAATCTTTGTGTTCTGTGGCCGAGCCAGACTAAATAAACCCAAGGTCTTCCATATTAAGAGTCCAGAAAGACCTGAGTCTGGTTACAGGATGTAGGTACACATGAGACATACTGACAATGCAAATGTACACACACAGACACACACACACACATAGACATACATATACACACAGACACACATGTATACACACACACACATACACACACACACACACACACACACACACACACACACACACACACACACACACGCATGCAGGAGTGCATGTGGAACTCCACCTTATTTTTGAGACAGGGTCTCTCATTGAACCAGATGCTGACTGACTTGGCTAGACCAGCTGGCCAGCGAGCCTTAGGGAAGAATCCTCCTGCCTCTATTTCCCGGAGTTTGAATCATAAGCACACACCACATGCCTGGTTATTCACATTGGTGTTGGGGGGGTCTGAACTCAAGTCCTCATACCTTGTAAGTACCTTACCAACTTAGCCACGTCCCCAGCCCAGCACATCTATTTTTCTGTCTCCGCATCACTCAAGAAAAAGGAGACATTGGCAGTGGCTTAGGGAGGTGGTGTCTGAATGCTCATGCTGACATGGGTTCAAACAAATGACATGCTCTGTTTCTCCTGAGCCTTTGGGTCTCTCCCAGGAGCCTTGTGGAGCCCCGCAGGATGGAATCCTTGTTCTCTTGCTCTGGAGAATTCTACAGCAGAGAGGTGTGTCCCAAATTTGTGAATTCCATTGCTGTCTTGTTCCCATGCACAGAAGTGAGCTAAAGCCACTCTGCCCTTCCTGAAGGATATGATATTTTGGAAGATGAAGTTCTTTCTTTCTTTCTTTTTTTCCCCCATCTTGGCTGTCTTGTGCGAGCCTCATAAAGAAGGGTCCACTCTTTAGAGGAGCCAAATAGAGTGAGTTGTCAGATCACCAAGCCCAGGGCTGCATTCAGACGGGCTTTGCTGGTGACCCTGGGATTTAATTAAGTGGCTCTGCTGTATCTGCTGGGGTTTAGGTTTCTCTGTCTGTATCTGTAATACATCCTGCTGCGGCTTGAGGATGGATGGGATTTTCTCCAGGGCTGTGCACCGGCCTCAGCGTCACCCAGGGGTTGCTGGGACACTGGCAAAGTCATTCGTGCCAGCATAGAGACCCACGCGTCTGTTACCTAGCCATTTCTACACAGCGGGCCTTGGGACTTCGAGGAGTGAGTCAAGTATTGAGTTTGGGGATGTGGGAGTTGTGGAGACAAACAGTCTCACTCCCGTGACCTGGGGATCTTGTGACTTTCAGAGAATGGGTATCAACAGCTGAAAAAGGGCCAGATGCCCTCTGGTGAGAGTGGAGAATCTAAAATAAACAAAAAACAGGAGACAAGCTTTATAATTGTGATTCTCTGTGTGTGTGTCTATATGTGTTTGTGTGACTATATAAGTGTGTCGGTCTATGTCTGTCTCTATGTCTCTCTCTCTCTCTCTCTCTCTCTCTCTCTCTCTCTCTCTCTCTCTCTCTGTGTCTGTCTACATGTGTCTCTGTGTATCTGTGAGTGTGTCTATGTGTCTCTGTCTGTCTGTATCTGTAAGAAGCCTTGGCCTTTGTTATTAGTGGTGAGATCCAACAGGTCTGCCAGCTGCCAGGGCTGCTGTCTATGGGTGGTATCACTGGCATTCAAGAATGCATCTGTAGTTCACTGTAGAACAAGAGAGGCAACCATAGGGCCAGATTTGGCCCAGAGTGGTGTGTGTGGTGTGTGTGTGTGTGTGTGTGTGTGTGTGTGTGTGTGTGTGTGTGTGTGTATGTGTACTCATGCACATGGAAGTTGTTTCTTTTCTTTCTTGTGTGTATACATTCATGTGTGTGAATGCAGGTAAGCATGAGCCACAACATGCATGTGGAGGTCGAGGGCAACCTTGGGGGTCAGCCATTGCCTTCTGTTTTGTTTGAGACAGGGGCTCTGTTGTTTTGCATTGCTTATTCCAGGCTAGCTGGCTGGCTAGCTTCTGAGGAGTCTCCCGTCTCCACCTCCCACCTCCTGGCAAGAGCACTGGGGTTGCAGACACTCGTTCCCACCCAGATTAGGTGGATTCTGAAGATTGGAACTCAGGTCCTTACACTTTTGTGGCAAACGGCTTTACTCACAGAGCCATCTCCCCAGCCCATGAGTTACTTATTGTTATTATTATTTAATTTATTGCCATTTCTATTAGTCAGAGTTCTCTAGAGTAACAGAACTTAGAGAATGAATCTCTAAAAGGGGATTTAACAGAAGGATTTATAGGCTGTGGTCTAGCTAATCCAACAATGGCTGCCTATGAATGGACAGTCCAAGAACCCAGTAGTTGTTTAGTCCAGGAGGCTGGATGTCTCAGCTGGTCTTCAGCATACACTGGAATCCCAAAGAAGTAGGCGCTGATATCAGTGAAGGAATGGACTTGCCAGTGAGGAGAGGGCAAACAGGCAGAGAAAGAGCTTCCTTTTTTCTCTGACCTTTATGTAGGTTGCCAGCAGAAGGTGTGGCCCAGATTTAAGGTGGCTCTTCCTACTTCAAAAGATTTGGCTTAAAGATTTAATCTTCCTGTCTTAAAGATCCAGATTTGGGGTAGGTCTTCCCATTTCAAATGATTTAATTAAGAAAAAAACCCTCACAGATGTGCCCAGTCATTTGGGTTTTAGGTAACTCTAGATGTAGTCAAGTTGACAACTAAGAACAGCCATCACACCATTATGAAAAATTTGGCAAATTCATGTAGAAATGAATATTTTGAGCCTATGAAAACCCCCAAGGTTGAGTGGCCCCAGGTCCACATCACTTTCTGTGAGACCTTTCTGAAGTTGGTCCCTTCTGTGGAAGGTCCAATCTGCTCACTGTAAGCTCCGCCACCCCCTTTCAACTCCCTGTGAAGGCTGAGGGGATGTACCAGTTGGGTGCTGATTTTCTGCTTTTAGATTTTGGAGGAAAGTAGAGGGTTTTTTTTTTTTGTACTCTCGTCCCTTCTCTTAAAAAAATAATGTGACATATACTATAGTTCACTCCATCGCTCTGACGGCAAATTCTGTCTTTATAGAACCTGAAAGGGGCATTGGGAAATCTGTGATCTGAGCAACAATGTGAGGGGATGGAAGGTTCTGGAAATCAAACCACAGCAGAAAAGGCTGGAGGAGGTGGGAGGCCATCTGGGCAGTGAGGTGGAAAGGAGGAGGGTACCATTGCGTGCGTCCGTGGAGAGAGGGCCAGTCATGGTGCTCTGTATCTCTGTCAAGGGCCACTGTGGAGAAGATGCAATGTGCTTTTTGCCTTTCAGGCCCTCAGAGTGGAAGCTAATGAGACCATTCCTAGTGGAGAGAAAAAGATAGTGGTACAGCAAGTTCCTTGGTTAAGATTTTAGACGTTGGTTATGAGTTCCGATCCTGGCTCCACACTTCCCTACTGTTTGACCTTGGGTAGACTGTGTAACCACCCTGAGCCTAGCTTCCTTACCTCTTAGGAGGGGAGGGGACAGGATACAAGGG